AGGAAAGTACATTTATCTTGAGTATGTTTTTGTACCCTGATGTACCATGCAATTTAAACTCGACATTGCATTTTGGAGATGAAAATGGCATTCTGAGACATTTAATAACTATTGCCACTATGAATATTGATGGAATCATTTCCTCTGGCTTTTTGAAAAGGAAGTCACTGTATTGTATTACTAAAAATTATTATTTTTTAAAAATATTATTTATTTGAAAGTCAGTTACAGAGAGAGAGGGGCACACACACAAACACATATATACACAGAATGAGAGAGAGATCGTCCATCCAGTGGTTCAATTCCCAGGTGGCCTCAACAGCCACACTGGAAGCAGGAGTAGTACATTTCTCATTACAAGAGTTTTAGAAAATAAGAAAGTAGAAATGACCCTTAAACTTAACCACCCATTTACTTGTATAACCTTTTAAAAGATGTTATTTTGAAGATAGATTGCATTATGCAGGGAGAAAACATTTTTGCACACTCACATGCACACACACACGTACAGAGTTGCTCTTTGTGTGTGTTTGCCTATGTGCATCTGTGCACCCCTGGCATGCCCCCCTAGCACATCAGCTTTTCTTCTTTTTCCTTGAAGGTTAGGTTAATCTGAAGTCCAGATCTACGGGCTGATAAAAGGCTTCCCTTTCATGTCTGTGTCTTTTGGGAATTTACTTTGTTCCCTGTTTTCCCATTACCGGGCTTTGTCATTGTCATCTTTTGTTACTGGAAGGTTACACAATACCTTGGTTATAGTAGATTACCTATTCACAGATTGTATACAAACTTATTATTATTGCAAACAAGCTCATATGAACTCATTTTTTATTGAGAATGTGTGATTTTTTTAAACCAAATCTTTTGCAGATTCAAAGAGTCACTGAGATGGGTATTACAGAGCATGCACCCCTCCCCTTTTTTTCTTTCTTCTTTCTCTTTCCTGTTGTAGAAGAAGAGAATTTCCTGCTTTGAGCAAGGGAGAGCTGTTCTACTCATACCAGTATTTCTCAAGGTCTCACTCCTATCCCAGGCCCTTATCTAGATTATTTCCCAAAAATTCAGCTCTCATTCTGTAATACATATTCTGTAGTGCACAGTTTTCACCACACTATGCATATGCTTATAATCACTGTATACAATCACTTTACCAAAATGGAATCATCCTATAAGTATCATCTTATATATATTTTCACTTGATACTTCATTGTGGGAATATTTCCATGGTAGCAACTATAAGACTTCATCAGGTTTTATTTACTTTTTGAAAATTTATTTATCTGAATGGCAGGGAGAAACAGTGAAAGGGCAGGGGGAAGGGGAGGGAAGAGAAGAGGGGAGGGAGGAGAGGGAAAGGGAGAGGGAGAGCTCCCATCCACTGGTTCACTCCCTCAATGCTTGCAATGGCTGGGTAGGACTGGGGCTGGAGCCATGATCCTGAAGCACAATCTAGATTACCTATGCAGGTGAAAGGAACCCAATTACTTGAGCCATTACTTTTAACTCCCAGGGTCTGCATTGAAGGGATGCTGGAGTTAAGAGCCAGAGCTGGAAAGTGAACCCAGCCACTCCTATGTGGGTTGAGGTGTCTTAACCCTAGGGTAACTGCCAGCTCCCCTTCATCAGTTTTTTTTTTTAATATTTTATTTATTTAATTTGAGAGAGAGAGTTAGACAGAGGGAAAAAGGGAAAGACAGAAAGGTCTTCTATCCACTGGTTCGCTGCCCAAATGGCCTTAACAGCCAGAGCTGAGCCGATCTGAAGCCAGGAGACAGGAGCTTCTTCCAAGTCTCACAGGAAGGTGCAGGGGCCAAGCGCATTGGCTATCTTCCACTGCTTTCCCAGGCCATACTGGCGCACTGGATTGGAAGAGGAGCAGCAGGGACACAAACAGGCACCCATATGGAATGCCTGTGTAGCAGAGGGAGGCTAAGCCACAGTGCCAGCCCCTCCTTCATCAGGTTTATCATATGTATACAACCTTCAGAGGAATGTGCCACCATTTATTTAACCACACTCAAGCTGCTTCAATATTTTGCTGTTACAAAAAATATTTTGATGAGCCTCCTTCAATTTTTTTGCATACTTTTCCATTACTTTAGAAACATACTTAACTGATTCCTACTTTTATATGTATATTTATATAGATTAGTTATTATGTATATGCAGGTATATATAAAGATTTATTTATCTGAAAGAGTTAGAGGAAGAGACAGAGAGAGAGGTATCTTTGATCCACTGGCTACAATGGCCAGGGCTGTGAAAGGCTGAAGCCAGGAGTTAGGAACTTCTGGATGTCCCACATGGGTGAAGGGCCCAAGCACTTGGGCCATCTGCCGCTGCTTTCCCAGTCAGATTAGCAAAGAGCTGGATGGGAAGTGGAGCAGATGGATCTCAAACTGGTGCCTATAAGAGATGCTGGCACTGCAGGTAGCGGCTTTACCCATTATGCCACAATGCCAGCCCCAGCTGGTTTCTTCTTAACTGACTTGCTGAATTGTAACTCACTTGGTCTATTATTTGTAAGCTACACTGATTACTGTCCCTGGCATGTTTATGCTCACAGATATGTATGCACTTGCACACACACTCAAAATACTTAGGAAGTGTTCTATTTTACTAATTAAATGTTTTTATTGTAAATATTTATTTTTTCAGAGTCTATCAAGATCATCATATATTCTGATGTTTTGCTTATTGACAGATTTGCTAGATCTCTATCTCATTCAAGTAATGAATGTTCAGTTAAATGTTTTTCAAAATACAGCTAAAAATTCTGTCTGTAAATACCATCCTCATATAAGATTTTTGGATTTATGTTCATAAATAAGAGCTCCCTCTTGTTATAATATATGCATGATTTCTTTATTAGATTTTGATTTCAAAGTTATTGATGATATTATATTTGTTATTGGGGAGTTTTCCTTAGTGAAGAAATTCTTTTTAGAATAATTTTAATAGCATAGTATTTACTTATTTCTTGAATATATAACAAAAGGTTTTGGTCCTTGACACATTTCTTAATATTTTGAGTTTCTTGTTCTATTTAGATTTTCTCCCTTCTGTTTGTTCAGTTCTGGTAAAAGAAAATTTACATTTTGAAGTCACTCATTTTATTAGATGTCCCAAAATTCTTGTGCAGAGATATGGAACAAGGTTGTGTTTATAGCTCTCTTATTCTTTTTACTTTTGCCTTTTTCTCTTCTCATTTTTGATTTATATTTGATAAATAAAAGGCAGACACACACGTGAATACACGTAGAATTCTCTTCTGCTGGTTCATTTCCCCAATATCTGCAATGAATGGGCAAGGCCAGTCTAAAGCTGGGAACCTGAAACTCGGTGCAGTTCTCTTTTATTGCTGGCAGCAGCCCAGGTTTTTGAACCATCATCTGCTGCTTCCCGTGGTGTACATTAGCAGGAATCTAGAAATCAGAACCTTACAGGAAGGTAGGAATCCCATGCACTCCAATACAAATGCAGCTATAACTGGCATCTTAAGTGGTCACCCCTTTTCCCATACATTGAAAGACTATTTATTTAACGTTTTTCACCCTGTTGCTTAGCAATTAAAGTGTTTAGTTGGCCATTTCCTGAGGACTGTTTGGTGTCTACCGCTGGTTATATTAGATAGTGTTAGATATTCTAGTATGATTCCTTTACTGATCCAAAGTTATTAACGAGATTGCTCGGACTTTAAAATGCTTTGGCTTCATTACTGTTTCTGCCTTTTCACTAATTTCCGATTTTATTACATATGACAAACAATATGGTCTATATCATTTCTGTTTGCAGTAAATTCAGTGAAGTTGCTATGTGGGTTAGTTACTAAATGGTTTCCTTAAATTCCATGTGCTTATGAAAAGAGTTCATTCTTCTATTACTAGTCTCTTCAAGAATCACCTTATGTTTGTTTTCTCTTATTTACTCTCTCTTTATTTATATATATATATATATATATTTAATTTTTTAAAAAAATATTTAAGATAAAAGTGTGAGTTACATTTTAAGTGAATAAAACTGAAAACTCAAAGCTCTATCATGTACTTTTCCCCAGTGGTTGTTTCAAGTCAGGAACACGCATACTTGCAGACTGAAATTACAAACGCTAGTTGGTACATAGGACTCCTCATTCCTGTATTGCTTCCTGTGCCTGGCCCTCTGTACTGTGTACTCTCTGGGTGCCTTTTGATGGCTGACTGTTGTGGGAAGTTTCTGGGCTCGGCGCTGGCGGACAGCCAAGTCATTGAGTGCTGCATCTTTTCATCTTTGTCCAAATGTTCTGAAGACCCACACACAAAAGAGATCCTCTCCTGTGGTTGTGGGAATAGAAGCCTTCCTTATAAAAAGCAACTCCTTTTGGAAGTACTTATTTATATTTGGGAAAAGTTACTGTAAGGGACATCTTCCAGTGTAATTGCACATGTTAACTGTCCAGTACTCCGCTCTCCTGCTCTTCCCAAGGTGGTGAACAGACAATGGCCTCCAACATCGGTTCTTCAAACTGTTTCCTAGTGCTACTAGATTTCACATTCAAGGGAACTTCAAAACCTGTGTGGAAAATGAAATTAAAAGATAAATTTATTTTGGTGCAAAAATATTTTGAAATCTATGCATATAGGTTTGTTACGGAAAACTTACCAAAAACAAATTTTTATGAAAACTGCAAATTATGAAGAGACTGCACAGATTACAATTTTTTTGTACCAAAATAAACTTATCTTTGAATTTTCACTTTTCCCTGAATATTTTGAAATGCCATCATAGCCATCTTTCTTATGGAGATATCTTTCTCCTAAGTATAATATTTAAAAATCTCACATTCCTTGGTATGCAGTTGTTTAATCCTGTAAGAGTAGAATTTATGTTTTAAAAAATAAGATTTGTTTTGAAGGAATTGGAGAATTTTGAAAACTTGAAAGCTTTAAATTGAATGAGTAAACGAGGTTGAATGACAGGAAGAAATGTATTTGAATTTCATGTAGTAAAGGTTCTTTGGTGCTTGCTTTGGCCACACACATATTAAAATTAGAATAATAAAGAGAGGATTAGTATGGCCCCTGTGCAAGGATGGCACACAAATTCCTGAAGTGTTCCATATCTTCAGTCCCCAAAAGATAAAAATATCCCATGTTTTCTCTGATATGTGGTTGTTAATATAGAATTCAAAAAAATGTACAGAAATGAAACAGACGTCTTGTGATTTGATTGTTGTTTTTAGTTCTTGTTCTACACCTATGTAACTGTGGTGTTTCTACTTTTTACTTGTTGAATGTTATGGTTAGTGATGCATTAAGCCTGTGATTATAGAGAAGATTGAAATTACATTTTTGCAAAACTTAAACAAAAAATGAAAGGAGGGTGACTGAGGAAAGGAGAGAGAGAGGGAGAGAAATATCTTATTAGAATTGTACCATGGGGCTGGCGCTGTGGCGTAGCAGGTAAAGCCACCACCTGTAGCCCTCTCATGTGGGTGCCAGTTCAAGTCCCGGCTGCTCCACTTCCAATCCAGCTCTCTGCTATGGCCTGGGAAAGCAGTAGAAGATGGTCCAAGTCCTTGGGCTCCTGCACCCATGTGGGAGACCTGGAAGAAGCTCCTGGCTCCTGGCTTCAGGCTTCAGATCCTCTCAACTTTGGCTATTGTGGCCATTTGAGGCCTGAACCAGTGGATGGAAGACCTCTCTGCCTCTCCTTCTCTCTCTGTAACTCTGACTTTCAAATAAATAAATAAATAAATCTTTTAAAAAATAATTGTACCAATGAAATACATGAAATCTCTCTTTATGTTATATAGAAATTTAAAAAATAAAAATTCTTCAGTCAAAAAAGTGTAGAAAACATGAGGTAAACTAAGTCAGAATAAGTTTTATCACTGCAGAATATCTTACAGTCTTCAATACGCATTGGGAATCTCTTCATAGAGAGAAGAGATACGGAAAAAAGTGTTCTCAAACATATTGCCCATGAGCCCTTCCTCCCTTTTTTCCATATAGCAGTTTGTTATTTCTCTTTGTGTAGTTGTTACAGTAATAATTACTAGTTACATCTCCTCATAGTCTGTAGTGCATTTTCAGGAAAACTGATATGCTTGTAACTTATTCATTATATAAGTGAAATAATTTGGCTCTAGAGAGGTGAAGTAGCTTAGTCTCATGGCTAACTAAAAGCAGTGAGTAATAGAACACAAGTGAGCCAGCTACCAGGACCTTCACTGTTACTTCCCAATGTGAAGTCAAAGTGCCACTTTCTGAAGCTTTATTTCTTCTAATGAGCATCTTTTTTCAGTTCCACTAATAAACAACTGTTTTTAATGCCACAGTTTTTGTGTGTGATGCATTTTGCATTTGCATTTTGCATTTGATTTAGATGTAACATGAAGATAATTTGATCTCGGTCCAAAATTTTAGGGCTCCTTTTAGCTTACCTTGATTTCTGAAGCAGAAAAATCACATAAATATGGAATTTTCTTCATCTTTTGCAGCGGCTCTAATTAGAGGAAATCGTAAAAACTGTGCTCAGTTTTCGGGCTCCCTTGACTGGTTGATCAGCAGATTGGAGAGACTGGAAGCTTCCTCGGGTATGTTCTCCAGTTTTTTCCTTGGTTGCTTATATTATTACGGTTTGCTTTTACTTTATTTTTTAAAGGATAAAATTCTTATGCTCAGTGTAATATATATTTTTCCTTTTAATAGATTAATTTTTGATATTTTCATCTCTACCTTTTTTCTTTTTTTTACTTTTACTTTTTTTAAGGTGAATATATTTCATATATGCATGTATTTATGGTTAAATATTTTTCTTAAGTAATAAAATCGTTAGTATTTTAAATAGTTATTTCTGAGTAGGAATCTAACCATATCCTGTCCATTTACTTTTAAACAAAATGAATGGTGTTATGAAGTCCTGAAAGCTATATTAGAGCCAACATTCTTAAACTTTTTCAAATCTGTTACTCTGAATACTCTGAATGTATTTTACAAACAAAAACTTTGCCTGGGAAATCTGATTTTTTCCCCTTGTATTCAAAAGATTATTTGAGGCCAGTGCCGCGGCTCAGTAGGCTAATCCTCCGCCTTGTGGCGCCGGCACACCAGGATCTAGTCCCTGTGGGGGCGCCGGATTCTGTCCCGGTTGCCCCTCTTCCAGGCCAGCTCTCTGCTGTGACCAGGGAGTGCAGTGGAGGATGGCCCAAGTGCTTGGGCCCTGCACCCCATGGGAGACCAGGATAAGTACCTGGCTCCTGCCACTGGATCAGCGCAGTGCGCTGGCCGCAGCGCGCCGGCCGCGGCGGCCATTGGAGGGTGAACCAACGGCAAAAAGGAAGACCTTTCTCTCTGTCTCTCTCTCTCTCACTGTCCACTCTGCCTGTCAAAAAAAATTTTAAAAAATTAAAAATAAAAAAAAGAATATTTGAGTATGTTGTGGAAATTTATTTTCTAAATTATACACCACACAATCTTGCTTAAGAGGATTTGGTAAATGGTAATAAGTGATCTGTATAATAATAAAATAGTTATTGTAGACAACCTGGTCCATTGCATCTCTGACAAATAGGGGTGTGTGTATGGTTTTATTTTGGTGTCCTTGGCACTTATCAGTGATTCCCAGGATGTTGTAAATTCTCCAGCACAATGCACTGCCTCAGTGACACCCATGCTGACTCTGTTGCTCCCCCATCTGTTTGTGTGGGATTTCCTTAGTGCTCTTCTGCAGCACTAACGCTTTCTTGGCCCCCTGCAGCAGTAATGAACTCCTGGAAGGTAGGGGTGTTGATTTCATTCATCTTTGTTTTCTCTGGAACTACCGTCTCATTTGGTACCTAGTAGATATTTTACAGTATTTGCTGAATAAATGAATGAAGTATTTAATTCAACTTTAAAAATGCCACTGTCCATACAAAAATAGTTTTCTGATTTTTTCATGATAAAGACATGTTCAGGGACATGTTTGTGGATTTGAATGGAGAATGGTTGTGAGTAGAGAGTGATTTTTTTTTTAATTGAGATATGGTTGTGATTAGAGAGAGTATAATTATCAAGTTTGGGATATTAAACATTGGTGTAATAATATTACCTATCATAGAGTTCATTATTTTTTCTTTTTTTGAAATTTTTAAGGTGAACAAATTCATGTATTTCATACACACAGAGCTCGGAGCCTAGTAATAGTTTCCATACTACTCTCCCTCTTGCCCATGCTCCCACCCTTCCTTCTCCTTCATTTTCCATTCCTTCCTTCAATTTTTACAACGATCTACTCAGTCTATTTTTTTTTTTTTTGACAGGCAGAGTGGACAGTGAGAGAGAGACAGAGAGAGAAAGGTCTTCCTTTTGCCGTTGGTTCACCCTCCAATGGCCGCCGCTGCAGCCGGCGCACCGCGCTGATCCGATGGCAGGATCCAGGAGCCAGGTGCTTTTCCTGGTCTCCCATGGGGTGCAGGGCCCAAGCACCTGGGCCATCCTCCACTGCACTCCCTGGCCATAGCAGAGAGCTGGCCTGGAAGAGGGGCAACCGGGACAGAATCCGGCGCCCCAACCGGGACTAGAACCCGGTGTGCCGGCGCCGCAAGGTGGAGGATTAGCCTATTGAGCCACGGCGCCGGCTCAGTCTATTTTGTACTCATAGATTTAACTCTCTACTATGTAAAGAACTCAATAGTAATTAGAAAAAAAAAAAAAAAAACACTGTTCCCAGTAGAGATAAGAGCTGTAAACAATCATCAAGTCACACAGCAAATGTCAGAGTTTCAGATAAGAAAGGGAGAGAAGTGCTAAGACACTGCCAGACCGTTGGGTAGAAATACTAAGGTTGAGATAAAAATACAGTATAAAAAGGGGCACAGTTTATGAAATGAGAATATCAAGAGTCTCACAACATGAATATTTGATCCATTCATTACAGAATATATCAATAAGGAAAAAATTGAATAACTATTAGGAAGAAATGGTTAAATTAGTGGTAACAGGAAGATGGTGTAGTTTATAGAAGTGGATAAATTGCTGAGTCAAAGTGGCCAGAATCATGGGCAAGCCACAGGGATATAAAAAGTATGCTGGCCCATTTTCCTGGTAAGTGTCCAGAAAGAGGGAAAAGCAGGTCTGTGTTCAGAGCCAAATGTCAATTCTGGGTGAATCAAAAATTTCACTTAAATAAGTCACAGCAAAATGCTCAGAAAGGCAGTGAGAAGTAAAGAACAGAGCCCAGCATCCTTTAAGGTCAGCCAATATTTATGTAGTCTTTGGGTTGGTGAATTATAGGCATAGTTCCATTGGATACAATTCATTATTTGTTATTTCCCCACCTCCCTCATCCCCATCAAACCTTGGATTTCAGGCATTTCTACCTAAAATGCAAGCCCTATGCTCAGAGACAGCATCAAGTTAAGAGGAAGAAGGGCTCATAGAGAAGATGTAATATAATATTCTTACCTTAAAGGAAAGGCAGTTGAGGCACATAATGCTTAAATAACTGATTTTAGATCCTAGCATTAATTATCACTACAGCCAAGATTAAAATCCATCTTCCTGGAATCAGGCTTGAAATATGTTCACTATACTGTGTAGCCACCTGGTTTTTAAGTATGTAAAATACATTTTGCTGAACAATTTTCTTTTCTGTAGTTATGTTTATGCTGTTAATGAATTGCTTTTTCCCCAGAGGAAGGAGAGTGTTGCTTAGTTTCTACAGATAGTAACAGTAATGACATGCACATGTATATGTATATAATTTATTTAAATCGTGCTTTATTATTTACTGAGTACTTACATTTGCATCGTTTTATTTTCTCTCTGTAATAATTCTGAGGTTGCTGAACACAGACTTTCAGCTTGGCAAGTTTCTCAGCTATAGTTTCAAAGCAGAAAACCCTTGAACTGGAAAAAGGGATAAAAATGGCGCTACTTTTATATTGCAGGATCTAGAATTTTCTCACCTTTGTTGCCATGGTGGGTCTCCAGTGCCTTCATGTAGGTAGAGATATAATTATGGGGTATACATATCTTGTCCCGCTTTTCTTGTTGTTTTGGTGGAAGGTTAGATTGAAACACTTGGTCTGCCTTTGCTAGAAACCAAAAATTGTCCTGGATTATTTTTGAAAACAAAATAT